CGGCTGCTGGATGCGCTGCTGGAGCCGCCGCCGGCCGGCGAGCTGGAGATCCTCTACCTGTACTACGACCTGCCGGCTCCGGGCGCTGCGCTGCCGAGCGTCTGCCTGGCGGCGGACTACCTGGAGGAGCTGCGGGCCGTGGCCCGCGCCTATTGAACAGCAAAAAGCCCGAGCCTGTGTGTGTGCGTGCTCGGTTTGCAGCCGCTTCCCCCGCAGCCGTTTTTGCTCTCCGCTCGCTCCGCTCGCAGCAAGCATGCAGTTCGAGTTCGTGCTGGAGTTCTTGTTCTCGCGGGATTGGCTCTATGAGCCTGGCGCCGACGACGGCGGGGAGATGGAGCGCATAGCGCGTGGCATGATCGCTGCAGGGTCCATCGACCACCCGTCTCTCCCGTGAATCGAGGCGCCCGGTGGTTCTACTTGACACCGGATCAGCAGCTCTTGCGGCAGCACCTCAACAGCCGCTCGATGGACCTGTGGCTGTGGTCCATGACGCAGTTTCGTGGCTCGCTGCACAGGCGCTTCGTCCGCATTTGTGTGGGATGCTGCCGGGTGGTTCGCGCCTACCTGGAGACCATGGCCAGGGAGGCGGCCCGCCGCGAAGCGCTGAAGATGCTCGCCATCAGGAAGGACCCCATGCTCTTGCACTACGAGCTTGCCAGGAGCCTCTGAGCCGAAGGGCCGCCGGGCTGAGGCAGCAGCACAGGCCCGCCTGCCGCCCGGAAAAAAAAAGCGCTGCGCTGCTGAGCTGCTCGGTTTGCAGCCTTTTTCCCCGCAGCCGTTTTTGTTCGCTCTTCTCGCTCCGCTCGCTTCCCGCCATGAGGTCGATCTGGGAGGAGCCCTGCTGCGACCTGCTGCCCTTCCTCTACTCCCGGGACTGGCTGGACGAGCGCCCTGACTCCCAGCTCACGCGCATGGCAGCTCGCATTGCGGAGTCGGGCTTCCGCGTGCATGCCTTCTTGGTCATGCTGGAGGACGTCCTTGAGCTCCGCCGCGCGAGCAGGCTCCTCTACGGCAATTTGGGCCACGGCGATCTCATCTCTAGCGCTCGCCGGTTCCGGCGTACCATGCACACTCATGTCTTGCTTCGGCTGCCGGATGTTCTTCAGACGCCGTTGATTATCGCGTGCGTCAACTTGCGCCAGCTGGTGGCAGCTTGCCGGGCGGCCGCGCTGGGCGAGCTCACCCCCGCTCCGGGCCCAGTCCAGATTCTGGACACGATGCTGGCGGAACGTCCGCTCCCGTACGTGAAGGAAGAGCTCATGGACGACGATGGCGAGCGCCGCCTGATGGACGTCTGAGCTAGCCGGGCTGAGGTAGGAGCACAGGCCTGCCCTCGACACGTACAGCAAAAGTCAGTGCGCCAATGGGGAGTGAGAGTGGGGGGCAGAGCAGAGGTAACCGGCAGCAACGACGGTTCTTCTTTTTTGACGCCGCCTGCACGCCGGTGAACCCAAGCAGGTGCATGATAGGTGCATGATAGGTGCATGATAGGTGCATGATACAGTCACGTCAGCAGTCGGGGTTGAGGGGCGCGGTTGAAATCTCGGAGCTGCCGCACCGCCAGTGGCACCG